GCGGCCCCGGGGCGAGGCCGCCGGGTGGAGGGGGTCGCAGGCGCGGTGGGCGTTAGGGAGGGCGCGGGGTGGAGAGGGTCGCGGGCGCGGTGGGCGTTAGGGAGGCCGCCGGGTGGAGGGGGTCGCAGGCGCGGTGGGCGTTAGAGAGGGTGCGGGGTGGAGAGGGTCGCGGACGCGGTGGACGTTAGGGAGGGCGCGGGGTGGAGAGGGTCGCAGGCGCGGTGGGCGTTAGAGAGGTGCGGGTGTGGCCCACGGCTGCCTGGCAGCATCATTTCCTCGTCTCCAGCGTCCTAGGTAGATGCGGTAGTCGCGTTTCCGGCCACATCTGACTTGTATAGTATTAAAAAGTAAATGTGTTTTTTCCCATTTATAAATGTATAATTACTATTGTAGCTATTTTTTGAACTCCAACACCATGGACCTAACAAATGTCTCCTTGTAATAGATGTTCTGTAAATATTGACTGAAGTTGAAGAGTGAGTGGTGGTATTGCCATTACTGTTTTGTGTGCAGTTTGCTCCTTGCGATACCGTAATTGCAGCAGATACAGTTATTAAATATCCGACAGACTCCTCCGCCCTGTCAAGCCCAAAGTCTCAGTTCTACAATAAGACGAAGAAATGGCAGAACAATGGTGTCATTTGTATTTTCAGTTATCTGCTTTAAAAGCTTGTTTGCAGAGCCCCAGGGTAATTTTTTAAAGTCTACTTCCTGACATATGATATGGAAAATAGCTCCAATAATTTTATTATTTTTGCAGCCTAGCTTCTTGTACATTTTCACCTGTTTGGAGTTTGTAGCTTGTTTTTTTATGGCCTTTATTTTAAATAACCTTATATGTGTTCCTAGAGCGGAACACATTTATTTAATCTCTAATTAAATAAATGAAATTAATTTATTTGAAATTTTTAACTTTTGCAGCATTTGGGTATTTTTTAAATTACAGTCCTGTTTTTACATGTAAGCTTTCTCCTCCTTCTTGTCCTTTTTCCTACTCAGTTTCATTTCACTATCCTTTGAAAGTTTTTTTAAAATCTTCCTCTTTCAGAAAACAATCATCTTGTTTCAAGTTTTCAAAGAATTTTTCTCTTTGATTATTCAAATCTAAGAAAAATAATATACAAAGCATCTCTTCATTGACGTTTTCTCACCTAGCATTTGTTGAATCGGTTCACAGAAACCTACTACTCCTTATAGAGTAGTTCCTATTTCCAGAACAGCTTATGCTTAAAGTTAGAGCTAAGTTATCTCTAGGTATGAAAGTAGAACAGCTAAACAAATAAGGACAAATAAATATTTAATCAAGTAGTTTGGTTTATCATTTCTTTCTAATTTGGACTCCTTAATTAGTCACCAGTAAGTGAGTAGAAATTTAACATGGGAGTAAATATTAAAGCATAATAATACTTATTTGGTAATATTTATTTATTAAGTTGAAAATCTGGAATTACTAGAATTATTTTGCAAGTATTTTTCCCCAGAATTGTTTTTGTCTTCATATGTATTGTATGGAATTTTAAGTTAAAAATGGATGCAATTTTGATGCATCTAAAGAGGTATCAAGTTGAATAATTAAAACAACTATACTATAATTTGTTTTTATTTTTTCTTCTACACCCAGAAAATTCTGAGCTGTGTAGCTCTAGGAAGAGAAACATTAGTTCAGAAGAAGCGAGTAGACTTGTTAAGAATACATTTGGCTCCTCACAATGCGGTTAGGAAAACTTAAGGGAAGTATTTCACGGAGCTCAAGCCAAGGAAAGACCTCTGAGAACCATCACAAAATAGGCCGGCAGCAGCAGAAATGGGGAATGACTGTTCGGTTTGACTCAAGCTTAAGCAGACTGAGAAGAAGCTTGGATGAGAAGCCCTATAAATGTACTGAATGTGAAAAAAGTTTCAGTCAGAGCTCAACGCTTTTTCAACACCAGAAGATCCATACTGGAAAGAAATCCCATAAATGTGCTGATTGTGGGAAAAGTTTCTTTCAGAGTTCTAATCTCATTCAGCACCGACGGATCCATACTGGGGAAAAGCCCTACAAATGTGATGAGTGTGGAGAAAGGTTTAAACAGAGCTCAAATCTCATTCAGCACCAGAGAATCCATACTGGAGAAAAACCCTATCAGTGTGATCAGTGTGGTCGATGTTTCAGCCAGAGCTCCCACCTTATTCAGCATCAGAGAACCCATACAGGGGAGAAGCCCTACCAGTGCAGTGAATGTGGCAAATGCTTCAGCCAGAGCTCTCATCTTAGGCAGCACATGAAGGTGCACAAAGAAGAGAAGTCCCGCAAAACTCCAGGCAAAAATATTAGGGCAAAAACTCACTTAGTATCATCTTGGAAAACTGGTACAAGAAGGAAGTCAGTGGCTCGTCTCCGCTAAACAAGGGACACTGTTTCAACCCTTTCTTTAAAAAAAAAAAAAAAATCCTGTCTCTCAGAACTTGAGATACTTTATAATAGAGCATTTACATACTGTATTCTTTCTTAGCATGGAGACATTGAGACATTGGGAGTTGAATGACATTGGGCAGACAGAAATTATGTGGGAGTCCCACTGTCCTCATTTCTTTTTTATGTAACCTAGAGTACAAAGGACTGAAAACATTTTTTGAGAGAAGACCCTTGACCTCATTTGAAAGTGTTTCTTGCATACTTTTGACAAAAACAATCATGTCTTAATGACATATATAAAAATGTAGGCATTTCTATGACTCAGTTTTAAGACTTTCTATTGAAGGAGTAATAAAGGGGAAAAGACTAATTCCATTGGTTTTGGAGTTCTGTAACATGAAATTTTATGTTTGTAAAGTCCTGTAGTATATTAATCATCAGTTTGTAAGTATAACTCAAGATTGACTGTATTAAAATGTATCGATGTTCACAGATTCTTAATCAGCAAGGCCTATCACTCTATATTAACTTTCTTTTGTTTTTTTCCTTCTTGTGGACAGTTGTTAAAGGAGTAGAATTTCCCTGTTTTTCACTAAATTCTTGTTAAGAGATACTCTAGAAGTCAAAGTGAAAACTGAATTAGACCACAAATCTTATTTCTATTAGCACTGTTCTTTGTGATAGTGTTACACTGTGTCAGTTGTTTTCCAGAAGTTGGGATGGATTTATGTTGATCCATTCTTATGACTTCTTTTGGCGTTCTCTTGTGCTCTGACAAACTGAGATAGCATTTTAGATTCCCCTGAATAAGTAATTAAACCATATTTAACCAGAACAATCTCAACTTGTTAATTAAAAATCTACAATGTATGAACGTCCCTACCTACCCCCTTGAGAGCTTTATGTAACCCTAAACAAATGTTTGTCAGTAGCAAAAGTTACTTAATCCAAATGTCAGGACATTGTAGCTCAATATGTAGACTTTGAAATCCAAGTTAAAATTTTCTGAGTTACATGAATTATTTACAAAGTCTAGCAAACATCTCAGCTACCATCCCAACATTCTGATCAGCACCCTCCAGCTCAGATTTTAATTCTTTTGAATGCTAACATTTTTCTGATTTTTTTGTATCTTTTATAATCATGCCAGTTTCTGGTGTATTAATGACAATTATCCATAAAAATAATAAATGGAATATTTTGTATACTACCGCCTTCTATTTATTTTTCTCCTGGGAAATTGTTTTAATAATTTTGGCGACATCTTAAATCACAGCTTTGGAAGAATCACATGTTTTGCCTAATTATGACTTCCTCAAATTTGAACTTTGCCTCCCTCCTGGCCTTGTACTTAGTACAGGGTAATAGAAGATGGCCTTGCTGGCAATAGTTTCATCCAGTGGGATAGCCACAAAGTGCTGTGTATGAGGTGATTACAGTTATCTCTCACAAAAGACTTGAGCTTTGACTGCTTAGCAGGTGTCCTGTTAGTCATAGTCAAGTCACTTTGAACCAGGCCTGTGGCTACAGGGCCTTTTGAGGATCTACCATTGGTGATGTTTCTAAGAGTTTTGTGTCTGGAGTAACTTCTGACTGAGATCAACCATTTTCTTAAATGTAATGAGTTTTGCAATTTTGACAGCAACCACAGGGTCCTGCAACAGAAAGACTTCTGTATATTGTTAGATTTCGTAGTTCACATTTTTATCCTGAATAGGTTTCTCTGTTTTCTATAAAAATAAAGCAAATACTCATCAGATTTTGATGTCAGATTTTGATGTATCCTCAATTTGACTGTGGTTTGCATTTCTTCTTAGAGCCATAAAATGGAGTACATAGGTCAGCACATTTGGTAGCCTTTGTGGTAACCAACATGTGGCACTGCAGCCTTATACTCCTTTTGGGAGCACCTTAGAAGAGACAAAATTACAGCTGCTTTAAATTAATGAGTGGATGGAAATGTTCCACCACTAGAAGTGGAGTAATAGTAAATGTGAGACTAAGCACTGCATGAAAATACACTGCCCCTCACTGTTCTGCTGAATTTCCACCGTAACTCAGGTTTACCAAGCTGAATCCTTTTATTCTTCTGACTCCTTATACTGTCTCTGGAAGTTTTACTTGGTGGAGGTGGGGGGTGGGGGGAGCTCCAAGGTCATTTTTTTAAAAATACTGAAATTCCTTGGCTTCCACATTCTTTTATTCAGTTATTCAGTCATCTAGTAAGTGTAGAAATAAAACTGATCAAGACAGCCTTAGCTTAAAGCCTGAAAGGGACTTAGGTTAAGTGGGTAGTCAAGTAGAGGAACTGGAAAACCATGTAAATGAGTAAAAAAAATGGTACTGTGAGAGCACAGAGGGGTCCCTCTGACCCAGCATGTGTCAGAATCACCTGGAAGGCTTGTTAAAATATTGAGTTCCAGGCCCACTCCCAGAATTGTTTATTCAGTAGGTCTGGGCTGTAGCCAGATAATTTCCATTTCAAAACTGCTCCCAGGTGATTATGGTATGCTGGTCCAGGACACCCTTTGAGGACCACTGCTATAATCTATCACGGGGGCAGTGATGTGCTTACATAAGACAGTGTCTAAGTCATACATCATAATACTAATCTTTGATAAGGGTAGGCCGGATTTAATGATGAAGACTTTGGGTAAGATAGTTATGGCTGAGTTGTGGAAGAATTAAATGAAATAATGCAGGTAGAGAGCTTAGCATAGAATCTGGGACATTGTTTAGAATTTACTGTTAGGTCATCAAAGGCAGAGAAGCTATTGAATCAAATCTGAAATTGTCAGTGCAAAAGTAATACTTTCCATGAATTTAAAGGTGAGTTCTATATATTTTTTTTTTTTTGCAAGAACCATCTAATAAGTTCCTAAGGAAAATTTTAAGAACCTGTATGGTCCTGGCCAGTGTGGCTCGGTTGAAGCACCACTTACATCAAAAGGTGGTGGGTTCAGTTTCCAATCAGGGCACATACCCAGGTTGTAGGTTCGATCCCTGGTCAGGGTGCATAAGGGAGGCAACCAAGTGGTATTTCTCTCACATTGATGTTTCTCTGTCTCTCCCCCTTCGCCTCTAAAATTAATAAAAATAAACAAAAATAACCTGTATGAATTATTTGACAGGTAGTAGGAGTACTTCAGAATTGAAGTACACGGGGCATATTCCCCATGTTAGGGAGGCAAAGTAATTAAATTTTGTTGAGGAAGTAAATGTTTGTTCAATCTCTAGGCTCAGACGGAAACACCCCAACTCAGTGAGGGCACTGCACAGACAAGGGAAATATTAAGTACTCGGTCACACAAGTCGGACAAGGGAAGTATTAAGTACTTGTTCACACAAGTCTTTCCAGACAGCAGGCGTGTCACATTTCTTTACATTACTTACAACTGTCACTAGATGGCAGCAAAGGAGATCTAATGAAAACCTGCAAGTCCTTCATGTACATTCAACTTGTATCTTCCTTTGAAAATACCATACTCAAAATGTGGAAAATTTGAGGCCACTCTTTACAGTCAGGTGGGACACAGTAAAATTTCTTTGAAGATGCAAGTATAATTTTTAAAATTGAGCAATTTATTCAAATTACCTGAATATTCTTTCCATTTCCACTGTAACTTAGATATTAAACAACTTACAAGGCACAGGAAGACAGGTAAATCTCTTTTCTACCAGTTAGTCTCTTCCTGCTAGAAAAAAAATGACTCCTCCAGAGTGTTTGCTAAAAAAATTAGCTATTTTCGCCCCTCTTACTTTGCTCGATAGCCAACTCCTTGAAGGATTTGTCTGTACCTCCTCCGGTCCTTACCTGGCATTCTCCCCTCAGTCCATCCCCATCAAGCTCTACTCCACCCCTCTGCTCAGAAACACTGTCCACGGGTCCTCCATGGACATGTGCGGGCAGTGGCGTGGCCCGCGGAGAGGAGGGCTGAGGGAAGGCTGAGACCAGCTGTGCAGACTGATGCTGGAGTGCCAGAGTGGTGAGAACAGTTTGCTTTCCATCATTTGAACTTTTTATCATGTGCATGCGTTACATTTACAATTAACATATAAATTTAAGGCCAATTACATTCCCTAGCACGACAGATGGGAACAGTCTGGGAAATGAGATGGGACTCCAGAGCAGTGACTGCTGCTTTGTCACCTTGGCCTGACGTCGAGAAGTCCTCGCAGCACTGCATTTCACAAACTTGCCATCGCACCTGGGGGCTTATTCCACTAATCCCCTTCCAGGTGCTCTTCTCTGTCCCACTTCCAAAGGCTGAATTATCTCACAGAGCCTAAGTATAGGAACATCTCCAGGCTCGGTGTTGGGTGCATCTGGGGGTCTGGGAGGGGAGGGGTGTTGAATGTAAGAGGCAGTGAGTTGGAGAAGGACCTCTGAGTTGGCATGATGAGCTCTGAGTTCTAAATCCATTTCTCTGTGGAATAGCCATGTGCCCTTAGGCAAATCATTTCCCTTCTCTGGCCCTAAGTCTACTCATCTACCAAATTAAATCAAATTTGGCAATTAAACCAGTTGTTTTATTACAACCTGATGGCTGCAAGCTGCTAAGACCAACTTGGGCTAACTAAAGCAGAATAAAAAGTGAAAAAAAGATAAAGAGCTGAATTACTAGGCCTTAGGAAGGATGGGAGTCAAGGCAGCCCCAGGGATATCAAGGTCATGGGCAAATCTGTACGGGGTTGTCGCTGGAAGTTCACCCCTCTAGCTACCATCTGCCCAGTAGCTGTGATGACCTCCTGTCTTTAATGTGTATCTTTTGCAAGGGGAAGGAGTAATACCATTTCCAACAGTTGAAGGAAGGAGGGGAGAAAGCAGGATGAAGGGGGGAGGTGGAGAGAGGAGAAAAGTGAAGAGTAGGTGAGATACGACACAAAGAATAAAGCAGCCCAAGTGCCCATCAGTAGGTGGGTGGATAAAAAAGCTGTGGCACATTTACACCGTGGAATACTACTCGGCCATAAAAAAGAAGGAACTCTTACCTTTTGCGATGGCGTGGATAGACCTGGGGAGCATTATGCCAAGTGAAATAAGCCAGCCAGAGAAAGAAAAGTACCATATGATCTCACTCATGTGGAATCTAATGAACAAAATTAAAGTGGAGGCAGACTCATGGATACAGAGAACAGGCAGCT